GATGTGTGTCCCAGACATTTCAGCTACTTTGGAGACCGAAGCAAATTCTCAGACTGTGATGAGAACTGGAATCCACCCAGCACCATTTCAAGGCCTTTAGAAAGTAGTTTTCTACCAGACATTCCTAGTTAGTGCCCCTGGTAAGGACAACTCCTCCTTACAGCCACAATGCTGGCTCTGCAGAAAGATTTTCTGCCCAGAAGTCAGCTGCTGAATGTGTACGGGGTGTCACAGCCAGGCTCCCTGCCAGAGCAGGGGCTCTCAGGAAGGGTTTGCCCTCCAAGGAAGAAAAGGGAAAGCAGCAGCCAGTGCATTGCTCTTCCCTTCTTCCCAAACAACAGGTCCCAGCCCAGGAGTGGCCGACCCCAACGCCCAGCCATGCTACTTCTACAGACCTTTCCATGAGACAAAAGCAGCTTCTCCGGGTGGAAACTGCTTCTGCAGTCGTTGCTTTCTGGGTGGGGAACAGCCCGTTCCTCTGCTCCATCTTGCCAAGGGCTCACAGAAGCATCTTAACCTTTAAGGAGCTCTTGCCACCCTACCATATCTTTACTGTGTTCAGCTTCCTTCCCCAACAAGTTTACTTGCACCTATAAATGCAAAGGCAATGCTTTTGCAGAGACAGCCACCTCTGTGAGCCTTCCAGTGATCACCAAGTTACACAATGGCATTGTGCGTACTGCCAGGAGGGACTGTCCTTGCAAGGTACCACATGCTGTGTGGTACTTGGCATTTGTTTATGTTCATTAGTATTCATTTTTGCTTGTAAATATACCAGGAATTCTGAAAATACATTTTCTCTTGTGTGACTGCAGACCAGGAGAATATAAACAGTAGTTAATTGAGGGAGGCAAGATGCAGTCCCATCAGCAAAACAGCCTCTCTTAGAGCAATAATTCCTAAATTGATAGTTTCAGGTAGTGTCCTGCATGGCACCTGAATGTTGTCTTGACCTTCTGTGAGCTAAGTGCAGGGAGAGAAGCAACAAAGGGCAGGGGGGAGCAAATGAAGCCTGCAACACAGCTGTAGCTCTTCCTCCCTCACTGCATGCAGGACTTCCTCCTTGCCAAGCAAAATAGGAACCAAAATAGGGTACAACATCTGTATCCTGCTGTAAACAGAAGCCTGGACAACACAGAGAAGGGACTGAAAACCCTCATTCATCTCTATGCAGACCACATTTCATTCTGAGTTAGATTCTGCAATATTAGTAATAATTTCCTCAATCATCTCAGCCAAGTCTGCTCTGCTACTGAGCTGGGCTAAGCAGGGGTGCCAAAAAGTGGGTTCAGGTCACAGAATCATTCAGCTTGGAGAAGACCCTTGGGATCATCGAGTCCAACCACCAGCCTTACTCTACAAGTTCTCCCCTACACCATATCCCTCAACATCTCATCTAAACCACCCTTAAACACATCCAGGGACGGTGACTCCACCTCCTCCCTGGGCAGCCTATTCCACTCTCTGACCACTCTTTCTGTGAAAAATTTTTTCCTCCCGTCCACTCTGAACCTCCCCTGTTGCAGTTTAAAGCCATTCCCTCTTGTTCTGTCACTTCGTGAGAAGAGACCAGCACCAACCTCTCTACAATGTCCTTTCAGGGAGCTGTAGAGAGTGATGAGGTCTCCCCTCAGCCTTCTCCTCCTCAAACTAAACAGTCCCAGCTCATTCAAGCGCTCCTCACAGGATCTGTTCCCCAGGCCCTTCCCCGGCTTTGTTGCCCTCCTCTGCACTTGCTCCAGCCCCTCGAGATCTCTCTCGTATTGACGTGCCCAAAACTGGACACAACACTCCAGGTGTGGCCTCACCAGTGCAGAGTACAGGGGGACTATCACCTCCCTACTTGTGCTGGTCACTCTATTGCTGATACAAGCCAGGATGCCGTTGACTTTCTTGGCCACCTGGGCACACTACTGGCTCACGTTCAGCTGCTTGTCAATTAGAACCCCCAGATCCTTTTCTTCCACACAGGTCCAGCCACACCTCCCCAAGGTCCATGGAACTCATGTTTCCAGTTGCATCAGCAGGATCACATGTTCCCATGAAGCTGAGTAAGGAAAGGTATTCACACTCACTGCAGGAAGAACCAGCAGGTAACCAGGTTTCATGCCTACAACCGAGTTATTTGATCTACCTCTTACAGCAAAAAACAGAAATTGAATACATTTACTGGAGCTCTGAGGCCATTTAGTCTATGGGACCAGGAGAAAGGTGAAGGACAGCAATGCGAGATGGGTTCTGGTAAGAGAAAGGGCTCTCATGAGACTCATATCTCAGTGTAAGCAAATTGGTATTCCATCTGCTACTGGATTTAAGCGGCAGCTGCTGCTTACTTAAAGCAGCGGCATGTGTTTGTGCACACAGGAAATCGTGGAAGGCTTTACACTTGCATCCTTTAGGCAGAAGAACTCTTGGAGGGAAGCTTCTCCAAAGGAATTTCCCAGCTGGAGTGGGTGAACTGTGAGAGCAATGAGGCCAGGCCCCAGAGCCCCGTGTGTTTTGTCCAGAATGGCTAGAAATGGGAGAAGCATTTGCACATTGACATGTGGGAGTTTTGCACAGTGGAAGTGAAAAGCACGTCCAAGGTAAAGTGGAATTCAACATCCTCAGCAGGGTTGAACACTTGAGGATCAGCTGCTTTGGGACAGTCAGGGAAAAGCTCAGACTCCCCCTAGTTTTAACTGCATTATCCCAGTGCCATCCTGACTGGCCCTTGTGCGAGGCTCTTGGCTCTACCTTGCTTTCCTCCCTCTGCCTCAGCCAGCACCCCCTCCGGTGGCCTTCTCCTGCCTGTCCCTCACCCCTCCAGCCTCCCCTTCCTAAAACCACTGCCAGACATCACACCGAGATCACTCTGCCTGCTGGCTCTGCGCCCTGTCCTGTCCCACTCCTCACCTGCCTCTGCCTTGCCCTGGGCACCGCCGCAGGGGAGCGGGTGGACCTGCTGGGTGGGCACTGAAGACAGGCAGGACCCGTGCATGGGGATTTAGAGATCTTCCTTCTCCAGAGACACTGTTTGTGCTGCCCTCGTGCCCAGGAGCGCCAGGCACCCGCTGTTCTGGGTTCTGTGCAAACATGCAGGAAGACAACTCTTGGCATGAAAAACTTATAGCCTAAGCAAGAACAAGGCAGAACACGCAGGGGACTTGAACAAGAACAAAGTGCAGGGCCAGGGTGGAGGCACACAGTAACAACCCCAAGTTTGCTGGGTGTATTTTGCAGGCTTCAAAGCTATGGAAAAAAATAATCATGTGAAATGAAAATGAAAAGACTATTAGCAAAACATTCTCTTGAGTACAGATTTTTCACTCAGTAAGTTCAATACAAAAGGGTTTCCAACTCATTATATACAAGATTTCATCCATAGATGAAGAATAAATATAAATTGCTTAGAATCCAGCATTTTATGTGAACCTGTAAATACATATTCCTCTTTATGTCCATACCTCAAACTCTGCAGCTTTGGGCTGGTGCATGAGAACCTGTAAACTAGGAATTGACTGAACAAGAAAACTGGGCTGATCGCACCAGAGGAATAAACACATTAATTAATACAAGGTAGGCTCTCTTTTCACCACTGAAGAGGTGGTTGTTAGGCATAGGATTTTCTGGATAAAAGAAGCAGAGAGCAATTCCCCGTGTCTCCACACCTCGTCGCTCTCTCACTCTACACCACCAGATCTTTCCCAGCAAGTGGACATTTGGGAAACTGCGAGAAGTCACGGGGAGGCAGAGCTGGGGGACGCAGCCCTGGGAGCTCTGCTGGGCACCCCAGTGAAGCACCCGGCCACAGAAACATGAAAAGGGAATTCATTTTGCTGCTCTGCTCAGTCACGCACTCCCTCTGCTTCATGTCCCAAACGTTCAGGTCACTTCCCTCCACCTGTTTCCCTCCACCCTCTGAAGTTACACAGAAGACAAGTACAACCCGGGAGAAGAAAGAGCAGAATTTTAAATCAGCATAGGTTTAACTGAGTCCGAACTGTTTAAAGTTAAAGTTTATTTGTATTCTTTGTAGGAATATCAATAAAAGACCTCAAATGTATCTATATCTGTACATATTACAAGAACCTTCAAAAATTATTCACAGAACAAAAATAAATCTTCTTTAGAACAAACCCAGGCAATGAAATGCAGAAATGGAATCTCAGAGACCAAACAGTCCAGTGCTACCAGCATAAAAATACGGCTTGAAAAACAAGTTTATTACTTTTTAAGGTGTACTTTGTTGAAATAAAAAATAAATTATTTAGAGCTATCATTGTAAAACAGTTCTGTGTAGCAACACTCTTATTAAGGCCCTTGAGACAGAAAATCTATTTTTACAGGTAGGATTCCTGGCAGGCATGATCTGTAATGACACCCTTGTAACCCTTTTTGCTCTGTCAGACTCAGTGGGATACCTGTGGCTCACCATGTTAATCACTAATGGAAATACATTTAATGGTTCAACCCGGACAGGAATTATTCTTCAGGAATGACACAGACATTTTAGACTTTTTCCAGAACACAAACAGAATTCATACATACACAGTGACCTTAGCAGGTAAGTACTGATGTCACATTCTACGGGCACTGCTGTAAAATTGATGGGCTTCAATCAGTGAGTTTTCAGATGAAGTTAAAAGCTTGTGGGTTTAAGCAAGCATTAAAACATGAAATTAATACATCATGTAAAAAACAAAAAGCTTAAGCCAACCCAAAGCAATTGCAAGAACATAAAATAAACCCCGTTTCTTGGATGACTTATTAGAAGGAGACAGAATTTATTACTGGATACACTTCTAACTAGAAAATATACACATCCCTTTCTACTCTCCTCTGGATCCCCTGCCTCAGTTATGCCACTGGAGAGGAATGCTGCAGAAATGTGTAGCTGTATGAATCCGTGCTTTTGTGCATAGCTGCCCATTTTTAATTCACCAGGGAAATAATAGTTGCTAACTCCTGGATGAGAAATCTATTTCACTTACAAAAGGAAAAGGTCTGAATTCCTGAGGCCATGCTCCCTCTCTTCTCCATGACTGCCTCTCCCATGTCATTGTGGTCACCTGAGTGCCCACACACAGTATTGCAGAAGGCTCCAGTGTGCCCAAAGGCCGCTTGGCTTCCCTGCCCCGCCACGCTGGCTGCCAGCTGCTTCTGGGAACTGGGAAGCCCGGGTGGCTTTGTGGTTTGGGCTGAATCGTCCTAGAACAGCACTGAGTAACGTGGCCAGCAAGGACTGAGATGCCAGGATGGGGCAACTTTTCTGTTTCAGTCTTAGGAATACACAAGTACTACTCCTACAGGCTATTAAATTTTTCCTGCGCTACTTCAGCTGTTCCCAAATGAGAGCAGCAGTTTCCTGCAATAGCATTAGACACAGTCTGATGCATTTGCTGAAAGTATGAACCAAAACCTAATGTCTGTAGAGCTCATCTGTGCACTATTTACTACTTCTCTCACTGCTGCAGAAACCCACTGGCTACTAGTCTTAAACCAAATGTGATCAGGGCCAGTTAAAGCTCTTCTCCAAAACAGACAGACCTTTTGGCTGCCACGTGGTTTACTGCCACTTGAATTTTATTGGGCTGGACAAAATAGAAGCTGGCATTTTCACATATTGTCAGCTTGAGGTGTCTTAAAATTTCTCTAGAAAGCTGCTTGGTAACAAACTAGGAGAGACAGCTGCCTGCAGAACTCAGGAGCATAACACATTGTTCTGCAGCTAATCAATTTTAGTCTTGCAGCATTGTCAGCCTGCAACCTTCACTCCCATTTGGGTCAATAGGCAACTTCTCCTCTATAGCACAAGCCAGAGGAGAACACTTTGCACGTCAGGGTAGAAACTGAAATAGAAGAGCATCAACCGGCCTAGCCACAAGCTGTGAGGACAATACTGATGGGTCAGACTCTTTTAGAATAGCAACTTTTTCTTACAAGCATTCTACAAGGTTAAAAAATACATGGGAGAAGGTACATTATTAGAATGATATGTTAGTGAAGACCTCACCAAAACATATCAATCTTGGGGCAGGTGTTGTTTCCCCTCTAAAAGTCAGGGTTGAAATGTTGCCCTTATTGCATTTCTCTGCAGAAACCACAGTGGATGCCTTGGAGTCTTGAGCATCAAACCACACAGCTCGGCCAGTGATCTTTGCTCGTCTCCCAGAAAGCTCCGGTGAAGCACATTTCCTGAATTAATGCTAGACTTAACACCACCAGAATGACATATCTGCTTCTGCCTTGTTCTAGTCAATGTATTCATTCCTATGACCACTCGCTCGTACACCTCAGCCACACAACACCCATACTATTTGCATTGTGTCCTAAGTGAGCAATGCACGTGTCCAGGTGAAAAGGCTGCCTTGGGGAACAGATTTCCCATGACGCAGCCATGTGATTACAGTTCATAGCAAAGGGGAGCTGCAAATCACACAAAAAACTTAACAAAAAGGGGTTTGCAAAGGTTTCTTGTAAAACAGAGCTACTCACAAACCAGATTAATACAAACTCGATAGACTGACTACGGCTGTGATGCACGAAGGAAGAAGGAACTTAAAAGGCACAGTTTGAGGAAGAAAATATCAGAGGTCAGTGACGACCCAGAGCTGGAAGATAGTTTGGAAAGTATCAAAAAGAAACCACTACAGAACAAACACAGAGCACAACCTCAGGTGTGTCAGACAGTGCTGACTTCACTATGGATACTCCACAGACAAGAAAGGGATGATCCTTGGCCTGTTGTACCAAGTCACATCTGAGCAGCCAGAGAACTTTGACCTGAAAGGGCCAGGCATTAAATAAAAATCACAACTCACTGCAGACAAGTCTTTTGTAGGTGTAAATTAACCGCCAAGGCCTTGCTAGGAGAGATTCATACACATTTTTCTTATACATCCCACAGAGCAGGGGATGTGGTCTCTGTATTTATGCATAGTTAGTAACATACTCGTGTGACGGGTAACACAGTAATCAGGCAGAACAGTTAACACACTGCGCTCTGTCACAAGTGGCATTTGCCCACAGAGCTGAGATTAATTCATTTCCAAAGAACAAACAAACTTGACAACAGACACTGAATCTGGGTCCTCAGTATTGCCAGTCCTTCACATTGAAGGCAGCAGGGGTCACTTTCAGAAGGTCAAGGAATTGGCTGAGAAACTCCTACATTTCTAATGTAGTACAATTTTAGAGATTCAGAAAGGATAATCAGATCATCAGCTCTGACCTTCTCTGTATCACAGGCTGGATGATTTCAGCCACCTCACTAACTTCTTAGCTGCAGCCTGAACTGTTTGTTAAAAACATCCTGCAACAAGGCACCCGGCTGAAGTCAACTTTTCCAATTTCTAATTTCCGTAACACGTTTGAATGGCTAATCACACTCACTGTTATTAGTATGTGTTTGTAATTCAAAATTTGAATTGTTGTTGCAATAACTTTATTTTGAGAGGTTGGGGGCTAGAAGTGTACACCAAAAAGTGACAGTGGAGATTCCCATGCTATTACTTGACTCTAGAATCTGGGGCTTTAAAAAAATCCCTCTCAGACTAAATATTGTGGCATGTGATGAAATAATGAGAACTGACAATACTGTATCATTTATTGTTAATCTTTTACGGTTTGTGAATGTCATGATCATCCACAAGAAGGTCACTTTGTAACTACCTATGCGTTCACATACAGCTTGTAAGTGTGCTTCTTATGAAATGCAACTGAAAGTAACTGGACATGAAAGCTTAGTCAAAACTCCTTAAGAAAAAAATGGTGTGTACAGAACTTCAAAAACCCCCCAACCTTTAAAGTATCCAGAGATAGGAAAATTTCAGTGGAAACGGAAGAGCTTTTCACACAAACCTGCAGAAAGCATCTTTCATTGGAACAAGACTGGCTAAGCTAGTAGCTGAAATAGTGAAAACTGAGCGACAGTTAAAATACAGAAATCCTCTAGGAAAAAGGAAATTTTGCATACCAAAGTCTGCTTTGCTGGGCACGGGCACTCTTTGGTCAGCCCCCTCCTCAGAGCATTAACCCGACTGTTGCTGATGGAGCAGCAAGGCTGTCGCTGCAGGGTGCATCAAGTGGGCACTAGATAGAAATTCTAAAAAAAGTATTTACAGGTCTGTAAATTCTCAAAACGGAAAATATAAAACTGCATTAGAACTGGGGTAAAAAAGAAAGAATCCTACCTTGAAAAACTGCAGATTCCTTCTGTCTGTTTGACGGGAAGCCTGACTGTGTGCAAATGCAAGGAAACACGCTTGCTGCTCCAAGTTTTTACCTTGTTCAAAAAGACTGACAATTTTTTGCTGGAGACCAACCAAAAGTAGGTATGGGGTCCAGCAAGAGACAATTTTCTTGCTAAAACGTTTGCTATTGAGTTTGCATTCAGTTAAACAAGAGCTAGAGAAGAGGGGAAAAAACCCAGCAGATGAGTTTTCTTATAGAATTCATTTCACTACTATTTCACTCCACTCATGTATCAGTCAGCCTGATATACAGAGCTGCTGTCTAATGTAACCCACTGCTCATCTCTCTCACCCACAACACACATGCACTCACACTCCCCTCTTCTTCCTCCAAGGACTGCAGTGCTTTCAACAAGAGAAAAAAATAATAATAATAAAAATAGCAATAATTAAAAAAATCTACAGTATTCACTTCCTTTTGGTATATTACATCATCATTTTCTGTACATGACCCAAGAGCTCCCTCTATTTACACAGTGATATGGAAGGACTTGTTCTCGGGAGCCCGGTTCTCCTGGCCTTGAGTAGGGAATTACAGCCCACCTTTCAAAGTCCTTCTTTCTCTTTTCCATTTTATTAGCAGCATTATGTAAACCTGTAAGGGAAAGGGGGGGCTATTTTGAAGGTTTCTTGAGTCTGCTCCCTCTTGCCCTTCTCCTGGGGAGACGGCTGGCAGCATCTGCCCCGTTAGCAGCTGCTGTTTTTGAATTCACCATTCTCCGTGATGGAAAGCTTGGTGGGATTGGTGGGGGAGATGCCATTTCGGACTTGCATGCTGTAGCGCTCCTTCACCTGGGTCAGGGCACTCATCAGCCGCGTGTTGGCTGAGTCCAGGGACACGATCCGCTTCTCCTGCAACAAACACCCACAAAGTCAGAGCCCCCTTCACCAACAACATGCCTTTGCCCCACAAGCCTGCTTTATGGAGAGCCTCCAGGACGCAGGGCTGTGACAGTGTCTTCAGGTGGTTTCTAGGCAGAGGCAGCTTGGCTAACATTCTCTGGTAAGATGGGATGTCTGCCTCTTTCTGTTTTCTTGTGGTAACGTGGCCCCCACGTGCCATGGATGTTTCACAGGCTGGCCTGGCCCTCCTGGCATTTTAAGTGTGATGGAAGGTGACAGTGAGTCAAAGTTACATGTGTGAACGGATCCAGTCATGGTGGCTTCATCCAGACAGCCGCCAACTGAGGCAGATGGAAATGCAGTATTTTGCCATGGGGTGGGGGGGGAGTGGGGAAAGGGTGTTGGTGTTAATAACAACAATAGCCAATTATTTTTTTAAAAATAGGTTAGAAAAACAGAAACAGGCAGCAGAAAATAAAAGTGGTGGAGGCTTCATCTGGCAGAGAAAAGTGCAAGTGGTATCTTATGGCCACTGTCTATGTATTTTGGATGGATGTGCTTAGAATAAACTCATGGTATGCTTGAAACAAATAAAAACAGAAAAGCAGATAATGGCAGCCTGCAGCCACCAGCAGGAGTGAGGGTGCAACAGCAACATGGAGAAGAAGCAGCCAAAAGCTAAAACTAAGGGGTTATTTGAGGGGAAGGGGAAGAGGGCAGTGTGGGTGGAGGGGGAGATGCCATCGACAGAACAGAAAGAACAAACACTGAACACACTGCTCCTAGACCCATTCCAGCTCAGAGGGGCTCCCAGGCTCCGCCGAATCAAGGGTTCCCACATCCCTGTATTAATTCTTCTGGCACAGAAAGTGCCAGCCTCTACTTTTAGCAGAAAGCTAAAGGATGTGTACTAAATTTATAAAAAAATAAAATACCCATCAACAAAACCCAGCCTATTAACAGCTAGATTATCTTCAGTGGGATAAAGCACTGTAGGGTCAAGCCAACCCTACACAATTAGAAATGAAAATTTTCATCTTCTCTCAAAAAGAAAAAAAAAAATGTGGCCACACAAAGCAGCAACAGAGACAGCAAAAGGTAAATATGCTCTCCATGCTACCAGCTGATTGGCTTTTTTTTCCTTTGAGAAGGAAAAATGTCTAATTTACTTGAATGAGAAAAGCTGCATGCAGGAACTCTTCCCAGTCCAGCCCACTGAGAAACAAAATGTAAAGAATAATGATGCACAGGAGGCACAAACATTAAGGGATAGTTCAGACACACTGCTCAGGAGACCTAAGTGCTGCAACAGCCCCTTGAGATTCTGATCCCAGCACATCAGCTGTGTGGTACATCAGTAATCAAGTCATGTTTGCTTTTCTCAGCAGGTTTCCCCACAGGGGTAAGTGTTAGGGTGCAAAAACAAAGCAGAATTTAAGTACTGCTTGTATTAACAGCCCTGAAGAGACCAAGCTCTGTATAGCAGATCAAATGGAGGAGGTGGCATGAGGAATCAACAAAGAGCAAGGCAGGCTATGGCCTGCCCTGGCACTTGCTCTGATCCAGTCAGTGTAAGGATAGTGTAAGGATAGAGAACGGACAATGGAGGAGTTAAAGGCCTTAGCCTTTCCTCCCATGCTGAAATAAATCCTGCAAAACACAACTGCCTTAACAGAAATGTTTTCTTCAGCAAGTTAAAGCTCCTCCTCTTTGGACTAAATTTCACCTGGAATATATAATTTAAAATTTATTTCCAAAGAATATAGCTTTCCAAAGAGTTAAAATTGAAAGGCTGGTTATTTTCCGGCACTGACGAGTGGCTCACTATGCTAGTTTGCCAAACAGCTGGAAATCTACTCTTGGGAAAAAAAAAAAAAAAAAAAGGAAAAAAAAAATCAATCTTAAAAGCATGAGCTTGGAGAGTAGAGGTATCTTCTCATCGGAAGGAAAATACCATCTAACAAAGATGTCTCTAACACACATGAATTGGGTGCAGGGAGTGGGAGGAGCTGGAATGGGTAGGAGATCAGTGTGCTGGGCCAGGACTGGGTACTGCTCAGCTAGAGAACTGATTGGGTTTACTTGCCTGTTTGAATTATCTCATCCCCATTTATGACCTGTAATTTAACACAGCGGAGATGTCACTTGCAATAGCAACTGGGCCAGTACTCTCTGCAGCTCCACTGTTCCGAGGACAGAGTTCAGCCAGAGCCAGCCCCTGCTCGGCCAGGGAGGCCCAGAGCCAGCCGGGAGGTGCAGACCCACGGCGCTGCCCAGAGCCGCGGTGCACACCATGGGTACCAAGAGCAAGGGTGTCCCTGGGCATCGGTGCTGTGCTGCTACTGCACCTGCCCACCAGACAGAAGGGCAAATCTTGAAAAGCATCTTGTGCTGATGCAGCTAAACACAAGCAGCCTGGGTTACTGCTGTCTCCTTGCAGCCATTTAACTCTTCAGACAGGTGTGATGAGCCAGGGTCTCACCCCACTCCACAAATCTCACAGGAAAAACACCTTTTCTTTTCTAGCCACTGCTATATCCCTCTACCAAACAAATCACAGGCTAAGAAAAACCTTCGAAGCCCAAATTTAGAGGGACTGCTACAGAACCCAGCAAACACTTCGGCTCCTCTGGTGTGCCTATCCTGAATCTTTCATCAGTTTCCTCTTCTGCTCTGGTACCCATGAAAGGGCAATGACAACTAAGCTTCCCCCATGAGCTGGCTGACACCAAAGCAGTTAAGCTCTGTTGATGACCTTGCCTGCCCAAGTAGATAACAACACTTCCAAAGAAAAAAAACATCAGATTAAAAAGGAATCAGTAATGCTACTGCTTTGCTACTTTCTTTTCAACAATTTCCACTGCAGGTGATAAATGATGCATCCTCTGATCAAGTGTGATCAAGGACCTTCCCAGCCCTGAGGTCTGAAGCTTTCCCAAGTCAGCAGCAGTGCCCTTTGCCAGCTGCTGACACTGAGGGATTAGGCTGGTCCACTCTCCACCCTGCTAGCCCATAACCTCACACCAAGGCTAAGAGCCTACTGGCACGGACAGGTAGCAAAGAGAAGGGCAAGTTTCTTAGTCAGTCAGGATCTCTCAAATCCTCCCCTCCAAAAATAACTTTTTATGAGTTTTCTCAGTGCCTCTTTCACCTTCTTGGGGCAGATGAAAAAGCATCACCTCCTTCAAAAAACAGGCTGCTGTTTGGATGAGGTGCCATCCCAACAGTGTGTAACAGCAAGATGCCCTGACTATCCATCTCCAAAAAATGGCCCAGCACGTTCAAATTCTGCTCCAGCTTCCACTTGCCATAGTCCTCGATCACACTGGAGGTTGCTGTACTGCACCACCAAGAAAATAAAAAACCCATAGTTACTGACTATATCCTGTTCATTCTCCAGCACTGCACTCTCCCACTCTGCATTCTGAGTGCAAGTGCACACAGAAAGGATTTAATCTTGAGCTGCATCTAGAAAGGGTGACTACATTGGTGTCTCCATGTAAAGCATCTTGCACAATAACTAGGAACTCTATATGGAACTATAATTCCAGGAGGATTTTCTTGTTATTCTGCAAGGCTAGGTAACAGAAGTGTTGTGTTATTGTATGCAAGTGCTTTATACAGATTAGATGGCACGGATCCAAAAATCCAGCTTTCACGAACAGCCTTTCTGAAGAACTGTGGGAAAATGGGCAGAGGCAGCAGGAAAAACAGAATTTCTCCAATTATCAAAAAGAAATCTGCTATAAATATGCTCCTAGTGTTACCAGGCTTTTAAAAACACAGCTTTTTTCTACTTTATATTTTCCCTACAGTTCCACAGGAGCTCAAACATTTCTATTACTGCTGGCAATTCAAGAGGAAAAAAAAATGGCCTGGGTATGCCCTTTGTGCTCCTTTTGCCTATATTCTAATACACAGGCACCATCTTTAACAGTGTTCAGCTGAGGCTTCCCCCTTCCACCACTCTTTATGTTGGGAAACAACTTCCTGAAGTAACTTGGGTTACTCCTGAAACAGGTCATCTTAATATTGTCTATTAAGGAAGGTTTACAGTTGGAACTAGTGAAAAGCCCAGCAGCAGGAAAGATACCCTCCAAATGCAAAGATCACAAACATAACGTGGCAGGCAGATATCAACCCAGTCTCAGGTTCTGTCATACAAGCTTTGCTCTCTGGGATCAGCATGGACACAGGAGAAAAGCTGCGATGATCCCACACAATACACCCACATGCATTGCCCACGGGGTCCCACTTGCCACAGGAACTTGTGCAGACTGAGGCAAGCACAGCAGGTTTGTGGCAGAGTGGGCATTTCTCCAGGACTGACGTGGACAGTCAGATGGGGTGAAATGCCACGTATGACATTATACAGGGCAATGCTCTGCTGCAAGCATTCTCTTTTCTTGACTTGAACGTTCCAAGCCATGCTTTTAGCTCGCACAGCTGAGATGCATGCACATGGCAAGTAAACTATGCTGCTATGAGGCACAGCTTTTCCAGAATTCCCTGGCCCGCACTTGGAACCACTATTCCTTTACCCCCTTGGGATTTCACAAAACAGAAAAGGTTTTGGAGAAGCAATCAGTCCTGTGATTTGCTGTCAGGCTGTACAGTCTTTATTAATTAAAAAACACAACATTCTCCTAGAAAGCAGTAAGTCACATGTGCAACACCATGGGCTAATACTGGCTTGGGAGCTAGATAACAGTGCTGGGGGAGAAGGGTAGGAGAGAATAATGAGTTCTATGCACAGAACACTTGGTTCTTGGAGATCCTGAGCTCCTTACCTGTGCATCAATAATTTTCTGCTTTGCATCAATGACAGCTTGCATCTCTGCATGATCCTTCTTTAGCTCCTCTTCAACTGCCATGAGTCTGATGAGGAAAAAGACGTACGAATTAGGACAGTTTAATACTACTCCAGAATGTTTCAGATACTCTGGCCTGTTGGTTTGACTTCTCTGATTATCCTGGCTCTGCAAGAGAAGAATTCTGCTACACTCGGAAAAGCTTATCTATCCATCTGACACTCCCAACTGCCTACCCTTGTTATTCTCAAAATGGACATTGCCAAAAATGCAACTGCTCTGAAAAACTACTGCCTTGAGTACAGATTCCAAGCAACTCAGATGGTGTAAGTCAAGAAGCCCATGCAACTACCTCCTTTCATGTCACACATGAGACAGGGGAGCTGCTTGTCCTACACAGTCCCAAACTTTCCAAAGTCTCACCTGCTGATGATACTTTTCATCTGGCTGTCCTTCTCCTCCTGTTGCCTGCGCAGTCTCTCCTCGCTGTCTTCCAGCCTAGACTTGTACTCCATCAGCAGCTTCTGCATTTGCTGCTCTTGCACCAGGAGTCGCCGCTCATACTCCTCCAGCCGGCGACTTGACACCTTCAGGCGCTCCTTCAGCTTTGCTATCTCTTGTTCATACTGCAGGTGGAAGGAAAGAAGGAAGGAATCAGATGCAGAGGAAAAAGGAAGAGATCAGATCATTACAATCTTCTGCTGCCATTCTGGGAGGACACTGTAATTTTCATTACTTCTATCATTTTTTTTTTCATGAAAAAAAAAAAACCCAACTGTGGGCAACCACAGACAACGAGCACATAGGCTCCCACTGAGCTATTCCCACATGTAGGATGTCATTCTGTAGCACAATTTAAGCAGAGGGCTGTGACATGGCTTCTCAGCCCTGACTAGTAACATCCCCAGTTATCCCAGAATCAAGCAGTTCCCAGACAGGAGCTGCTAATAGTGTTCAACGGTAAAACTGTCTTGGGGTGACCAAACTCACAAAACAGATCAGTGTGAGACCCAGACAACTCATTCTTCAGCACCCAATCAAGGCACAAAAACATGTGTGAAGATAGAGCAAATCATTCACTACAGAAGAGAGCCTGTAAGTTTACTTGGCTGAGGTTTTGTTCTTTTACTTACTGTCTCTGTGGACCATCACTTCTGCAATAGTGCAATGAATCCCAACATATTCCACTTTGGTTTGGGTTCATTCGGCCTTCCTAATAATCCTGTGTTTCTGCTTCTTGTCCACCAAATGTTCTCCCCACTTCCTGCCTTCTCAAACTACCAGACCTCTTACTAAATTTCATCACCATAGCAGCATAGAGATGTAACTGTATTTGGAAAAATGGTATCTACTCCTGAAAATATGCTTTAAAAAAAATGTTTTTTTCTGTGTAGCCCAGAAACATTGTACTACCTAGCTGATGGGCATTTGCTTCAGGTGAAGCCCAAGACAAAATCTGAATGCAACTGCTGCTGAAGACCGAATTGCATTTACAGAACCTTGTACAATCACTTAGCATTATCCTAAGATATACCCAGTTGGATTAACAATTGTGAGTCGGGTTTTTTTAAATGGAGTTCAATGATCACTAAAATGTTTTGCAAACATAGAAAAATGGCAGCATGCTGTACCTATAGCGTTGTCATAAAAAATGATGACTTGAGCAGGATCTAATACACTTAGTGTGACTCACAATGCACTAAAGTGCCAAATACCAGCCTGTAATGTGCAAACTCTCAGCTACGTCACCTTGCACTCATTTGACATGCTACAGCCTGCACGTGGGTTAATCTATAGTATGGGATACTGTACTACATAGAGGTGTGACAGCATGTACAACAGGAAGTTGTGCCAATACAACCTGTGTTTGAAAGCATGACTGTCGCAGCAGTGCCTGAGAGCTGCTCTTAACTGGGCTGTGGAGTGGACAGGACCCACTGGCAGCCCTCAAGTCAGCTGCAAACAGAATAATATCTACCTTCTCAGCATGCTTGACTTCATCCGGATTCTGCTCTGCATCCTCCTCTACTTCTTCGTACTGTCCATTATTGAGGACCCATGCAGCTGTCCTTTCCACTGGTGACATTGTAGCGGAGTCCACAGGTGACTGAACCTGAAGCAGAGATACCTGTAAGCATTTTTCAGAGAAACAACATACAAATAAGCGCTAAAATCCAGTTTGTTTGGAGGAGGAAAACAACCATGAAACTGTCAGTCTCAAAGGATCCCCAAAACCTTTCCTGCAGAGACACTTCATCCTCCATTGACTTTGGAGTACAGCACTTACTTGAGTCCCTCTAAAACCAAAGTACTTGAGAAATTGTTCTTCCTTTTTAAGTGAGCTTCTTTCTGGAAAAGTTCTTGTTTCCAAATCCTGTTCACATCCACCTTTCCCCTTTGCCAGATTTTCAGTAAAGATTTCTCAACCTGTGATTTTCTTCACAAAGGAAACAGAGTGACAAAGCTTTGCTTGCAGCCTGTTCAGGTAAAACAGATTGGTTTCTTTGGAGTATTGAGAGCTTAACTTGGGAGCAGCGCTCTCAGCCAGGCTGCAGACAGGCTTTGCAATAGAGGACTGGGCTGCATGGCTTGGACATGAAACAGCACAGCAGTACTTAAAAATTGGTAGAGAGGCGTAACTTTATGTGTAGCGCCTATCAGGTTTAGATGGTCTCCTGTAGCACGTACACTCAAGACAAGGCTGTGAAAGGAAGTCAGGGCCAGCAGTGCTTACTAGGAGAACTGTAAAACACCATCACAGAGCCTACCCTCTTCAAGGGAATCTGAAAAGGAAGCCAAGAAAAGAAACGGGAAACTCTCCTCCTGGCTGGGGAAAATATGGCTTGCTACAAATTCCAAGCAATTTGCATGGACAAAGACAAGTTTATAAGCACAGGAATTAGCATAATTACCCCTGAAAGAGCAACACTGTTTTAACTTTTTGAGAAATGCAAAAGATCAACTTCCCTCCCTCTGCCAACTGTAGCTTCTTTTTGTGCTCAAGCTGCTCTTCAGCTCAGTGCATCAGTATTGTACCAAAGAGAAATGTGCTCCCTGGAGGGGGATTTTGATTTCTCAGTTTCAGTAAGGAGCTCTTTATGGGGGAGTAACAGCTTCTTTACATGGGTCAGGTGATGGATCACATCAACCTCCATTTCCTTTTCTCTTATTCACAGGGACAGGGCTGGTGAGTGCTGCATGTCCTAAAACAGCTCTGGCCAGAGGATTTGCCTGCAACAGCTCAGCTGTCCTGAGCAGCAACAAAGACTCCAGCACCAGAAGCAAAGGAAAGGAGTAGGAAATAGGCAAAAATCCCTGGATTTAGGCAGAGGCCTTTTTGCTAGAAGGTCATCTTCACAAGGGAAAGGCTAGTAGCCCCTCAAGTGCAGTGAAAGCCTGGCAAAGCTCCTTAGTTATACTTTTTTGATGGTATTTGCTGTCAGGCAGCCATAGCAAGTGAGACTATGAACTGCGCGTGGCTCTGCCAGCAACAGGCTCTTCTCTGAGGTAAACCCTTTGGCTTTAGGAATTGCTGGAGGAATTAGGAACAGCTATGGGTGAACAATGTCACGTTCACTGGAGTAATGCAGGACCAAGGTAGCAGAAGGATGACTAAATTATATCACCAGGCCTTGTAACAGACTGCTGATCAGCAGAAAACCTTGCCAAACAACCTTGCAAGCTGTAGGACAGAATATTTTCAGCCAAACGCACAAAGCCTACAAAGACCAAGTGGATGGCAAGCACTTCACATGCTAATGGGTTATGAGTTATACTCTAATAAAGTAGAAAAAAGAAAAAGCCTGCTAGGAACATGTATTAATTCCCCTCTTTGCCTCTCCTCCAGAGGAACACACTGACATTTCTGTTCCCACCTACCTACTAAATGGAAATGGAAGGCAAAAAGTGACCTCTCCCAGCAAACAAAGGGCCTAGCTCTATATTCAGAAACAAACGGGGCTTGTAGAGAACAGAGTCTAATAATTATAACTCCCACAAAGCATGCCTAGAAAGAACATGCCCAGAAAGAATATGCCCAACTTTTCTCTTTTCTTTTTCAAATAAGAACAGAATTCCACAACACAATTTGCAATTAAAAGGACGCAATGGAATTTGACTCAAAAAAAATTTGGCCACTCGATTTGGCATACTTCAAGACATTTCTCAAGGGTGTGGGGAAGGAAACTGAATTCTCTGAATAAAGTAGGATCAAGGACTCTAATGAATCCAGTGGAACAATTAGCATGGAAAGTAGAGTGGAAAAATAACTACATACACATCGCCTGCAAGAGAGGGGAAGGAGACTGCCCTGAAGCCAATCATAGTCGCAGGAATCTGTAAAGCTGAAGGTAAAAAGTAACTGGAGAAGATGGAAGTCTGAGACTTTGATGCTAAACAAGCAAAGGTAACTGATTTACTTGGGGGCAGTAATCAATTTAAGATGAGAAGAGCCAGGAGTCTGCAAACAGATAACCGAACATTTCTTGTAAATACACAGAGGGCAGAAGCCACCCGTGTAAGGTGTTCGCACAAAGACTGGAGACACCCCACCTGTACTTTCTCCTTATCCTAGCACATTCAAAGTAAAACCTTCTTTGTGTATTTGTGTAGGCACTTCCCGTACCAAGCCCTGAGGAAAGGCACCAGCTCCCCGGAGATTTTGGCTAGGACACGGCACAGAACCATCCAATAAAACTCAGTAGATCACACAATACTGGTTCATACTGGACCCTGAGAACTGCTGGCCTAAATATTTCCTGCACCTCCACACTAGGCTTAGTTGTAGTCAATATACTTTACTTATCAATGCCTCTATGCCCAAATGTAAGACACATGCTCCAAAGGAAGACACAAACATATGCACTTCAAACAATATGCAATTACTTTTTTGGGTATTATTAACTTGGCGTATTAAGCTTTGCTTTGTGATTCAGTGTTTCTGATCTCCTTGTACTTTAATAAACCTGAGGTATCAAAGCAGTTTTGAAGCTCTGATTGCTCCTGGGTTCCCAGGCATCATCCAGATTTTCCTCCTTTTGACTAACACAGAGGAGTTTGCCAAGAAAGCTACACCAACAAGGATATCAGTAAAATGTTTGGCAGAGCAGGAGCTTATGCTGGCAACTAAGTTCTTCCGCCAGCTTTATCTTACAAGCCCAAAGCCTTCCTCCCCCTGCATCACCATGCTCCTGACAGGGCAAGGAGGATCCTAACCCCTGGCTTCCTGCAGGTACAGCTTCACCCGCAGCACTGTGCAGTCTCAGCCTCAGGGGCTGCAACTTTCTGGAGTGAAAGTCCTTGCTCATGCCTGTGTGCAGAGCAGCAGGTCTAGAAGGTCATGCAGAAAGCAGGAGCTTAAAAAATTTCCTTCTATACTAGGTAAGGTAAATCAAACATGACCGTGTTTACCTTCACAGTGACCACAGAAGAAAACAACCCCAAGGAACAGCGCAGGTGTTGCCTTCAAAAGCCTCATCCTGCCCTGCTGATGTCTGTACGCACTAATATGACATTTCTCAAAACAACCACCTTCCCTCTGACCTGCAGATCAAGACACTTTTTATCTTTGCTGTAGTGCCAAGCATTTAAATACTCATTTTCTCTTTAACATTAACTAATTTAGTAAAAGATTCTCATACACAGCAAATCACTACAGGATTTTTTTTTCTTTTTTTTTTAAGGTAAAAGAATGCTGGCTTTTTGACAGGAAAATCCTGATTTACAGTTTCCTATGAACAACTGATAAAGTGCATTAGAAGTTGGTACATATAAGCACTCCTTTCCAGTAAGTGTCTGCATTATTCATAGTTTGGGATAATTAATGAAAAAGGCGTATTTATTTGGGAGCCAGCAATAGATTGTTGCATCATGGTGAAATACAGATTTCTCCATGCTTGAGACAACTGTACTTGTTTATTATTTTGGCAGCAGTTTACTCTATATTTTATCTTTGTTTATCTCTGGTTTTAGGTAGCTACGCTTTTAAATTAGCACCACAGGGCAAATGCAGTATCACGTGGCAATCTTAACTACAATTTGGAACAAAGCTGTTTCTATTTTTTTTTATTCAGAGCCATTTTCAAGTTTTGTTTTTTTCATCAGGCTTGCTGCTACCTTAGTAAATGGAAAACTTTCTTTTTTTAAAATCTACTACAAAAGAATCAAAAAATAATAGGTAAGCTAGGCTTGCCAAGCTTGTCAGGGTAACAAGCACAACTACTCCTCACACTTGCTACTACTGGCCACTTGCTTAAGTGTCAGTACTCTTGATTCAACTCAAAGGTCAGAAAGCTTGGAAGGTCGACTCAGCAATAAGCTAAATATCAAAGCAGAAAGCACCTGGAAAAAGGCTTTCCTTACCTGCTGCGTTTGTTGCCTCTGAATTGCCCTCACCTTTGGGACAGGGCTCTCTCGAGAGGAGGATGACTGCTGCCGGGAGCGGCTGCCATTCTGAATGGGTTCAGTCACCATGGCCCCCGACACTCCCGACATGCTGCCGGTGCTCCGCAGGGAAGCGCTGTGCGGCAAGGACTGTGGTGCCTTGGCCCTGGCGCCCAGCCCGCCTTGGTCCACTTTGCGGATCTGCGCTTGGCTGCTGCTGTTCTGGCGGGGCAGCGCGATAGGGATGTGCTTGTCCGGGACCGTGTGGCGCCGGGAGAAGTCCTCGCTCTGTGTGCTGCGCTTGGTGAAGTCCTCCATGCTGCTGTTGCTGGGTCCGCTAAGTTTGAAGTCTTCACTGTTGCTTCGGCTCCGGGAGCTGGCAGTGCTCAGGTTCTCCAGGCTGGAGTCCACGGAGGCCTTTGGCATCGGCGGGGTTGGGTTGTTGAGATGGTAAACTGGGTTCTGGAAGGACAGAGGCTGGAGGCTGCCCTGTTGGTTCAAAGCTGGGTGCAGAGGCCTTCTCACCTGGGGAGCGCTCTGGGGCGTGCTCTGCGTTTCCCATAGCTGTTTGATGTTCGCCACCTGTGTGATGGAGAGCTGGCTGCCGGCCAGGCGCAAAGGCACGTCATGCATAACAGAAGCATGGTCACTGTGAGCCGTGTGAGGATCTTGGAGGTCCATGAGAGAGATGCTACGTCCATTGGGCAGGATGCTTTCCCTTTCGTCCTTATCAGAGTAAGTCATGCTCTGGGTGGATGCCTGCTGAACCAACAGTAAGGTCTTGCCCCTGAAGTATCCATCTACATTTTCCTGGGTTGGAGACTTCAGCTTATGCAAGTCACTGTGGAGTGGAAAGGAATGTGGTTAAATTTTAAGTAGTCAAGACCCTGAGAGATCTGTCCCAGAGAAGTCTTTCTACCTCATTTAACCTCCCCCCCAACTGAAAGCTTCAAGGAAGCAGATTTCCTTTTATGAGCTCTCTGTGTTCAAGTTAGAACACACTCTTCCTTATCCACTTATCTTTGAGAATTATGTTTGATTCAAGTGCTTCATCATTTTTTTTTCACAGGTGAAATGCAAACCATTCCCACCAAATCCTCCCCGCTTAGACCCTTCTGTCTCCAGCAAGACTTCAGAACAGTTCAGATCTGATTTAACCCTTTGCCAGAATTATGTAGTGTGGGGGCCTGAACATTCTGCAGCAGTTGTGTGAAGGCTCCTGTAGATCTCAGTGTAAGCTCAGAGGGCAGACATTTTCACAGGAAGAAACTGGCCCTCGTACCTGACACTACTGAAACCACTCTGAGACCACAGTATCCAAGCTCTTTGGCAGCTCTGTTGTGTCACAGCTTTTTGCTTCAGATTAACAGCTATTACAGGGTGAGAAATGCTGCACTAAACAGAGGAAGGACTATTTTTGCTCTTCCACCGGTAACAAGTTCCACCTACAGCCCAGCTTTTTCATTAGCAGTAAATAAGTGGCCTGATTGCCAGAAGGAAACATTCTGGCTGACTATGCATCCGGACGCTCACATAGGCAGTGAATTACAAAACTGTTTTTTAGCAGCTGAAGTCACTGACTCCCAGAGATGTATTTGAGTCCTGGGTAAGTGAAAAGTTTCAGGTCTCCAGTGCACCATGTGCACCCCCTTAACTGGGACGGTGTATTGCCCATGACAAGCTCCCTGCTCTGACAGCTGCTCTGGGCAGCCAGTTCAAGTGACGAAACACTCAACTCTCACCAGGCTTAACAACCCCCTTATCCCACATCTTCCCTTGAGCTCTGGCTGTTACATACCCATCAGTGGGGTCCTCAAATATCTTCTGAAGCCCTGAGGAGAGACTGCCACTGACGTTTGGACTAGAGCTGTGCTCAGTGAAACGCCTCAGCTGCTGCTGTATCGGCGTAGGGTTGGTCATTGATTTGGTGATATCAGCAAGAATACGAGGAAGGGGTCCCAGTTTTGCCACGGTCGCCTGTAGGAAGGAATTTTCACCCTAATTGGACAACAAGCACCGCGACATCCGCCAGTTTTTTGATAACGATGCACAGAGGCGGAGGGGTGGAGGTGGAAGGAAGGAGGGTGGGTGGTTGTGTGCGGGTGTGCCAGGACCGTAATGCAGTGTTACGGAGCAGCGTAACCACGGCGACGAGATGGATGGAGGAGACGAAACGGGGTGCAGCAGACATTGAGGAAAGAAAAGGAAATAGAAAAGAAATTAGGATTGACCCCCAAAAATAAAAATCATGCTCAATAAAACAAAACTATTGCCATTCCAATGCAAAACTATCATGCAAAGCAAACTAAGTCCAGGGTGGGTGAGGTCAAAGTGAAAACTACAGTATCTACTCATTAAAGGGCATTCACAGACTACAGATTCAGCTATAGTGAGGGGAACTTTCCAGGAAAAAGGTGTCATGTGGTAAAGGAAATGCATGCCAACAGACAAGGGGATGCGGCATTCAGGGGGGTCATGAGAGAATTGCAAGAATTGAAGGAGATGGGGGAGGGAAGGGTTTCGTTTCATAAGCCTTTTGCTTTTGGCATCCTACACTGATGCCATCTTCTGTAGCACCCTGTTATCAAAAATTAAGACATTCTTCCCTACCTAAAAGTGAAAAATAACTGCATGAAATATCAATGATCCTCATCCCAACATTATCACATCAGCCTGGGATTAAATGTGTAGCTTCTTGTTCAACTATGTGTTAGCTCAGTGTTGGCCAGGCCTAGTATAAGAGCTGCTGACCTTCCAACAAGGAAGGCTGCTTGTCCAGGCTCTTTATCTTTCTCCCCACTTTGGGTCACTTCTGGTTATACCATCTACAGGGCATCTTCAGGCTCTTGGGACTGCTGGAAGAAGTGGAAGTGCTGGAGGTTTATATGAAAGTAAAACTGGTACAAAGACAATGCTCTTTTCAAAGATATCCTTATTTTTCCTGTAAGCAGGTATTCAGGCAGTTTGGCTCCAAAGAAAGGTCTCTTTACAGAAGCTTTCGTACAGCACTTCTTCTGTGTCTATTAAAACCTCTGAGGTGACTTCTCTCATCATTTCCCAGTCATTACCTACAGTAAAGCAGTACTGCATGTAACTTTACCCCTTAATTCTCTTTTTAGCAAACCACTATACCAGCTCCCAAGGGCCTGTTAGGATAGATCCATGCATCTAACCTACAGAAAGGGCAAAGCAGATCTGCTTTGACACTTGATCCAGGTCTCCCTTTCCTCACTGCCCAAGACATTTACCACCGTTACATTCAGAGAGCAGCTCACAGTAACTAACATCACATCCAAAGATCCATTTGCAGTTCTAAAGACTAGAGCTGGGTTTGTCTTGATCTGATGCCTGAGCAGCTTGGAAGGACACAGCAGTGTTCCCTGCACTGGTGGGTTTACCCCAATTTATACAAATGGAGGATTCTGTCTTTTGAGTGCTCACTTTGCCCGTGTTCCTGAGTCTGCTGAACTGTCTTTACAGCTGACTTTGCTGCCTGAGACATTTTGAATGTACACTCTGTGCACGTATGAGGGAAATGGAAAAACAAGATCATAAATTGTTATCAAACTAAGATTAACTAAGATTAATATATATTGCCTTTTTGAGTCAAGGACATTTAAATTTACTCTGATGCAACAAGCTCAGGTTTTTTGTTTTCTGTTTTAAATAATGTACTGTGAGAAAATAGATACCAAACAAATAACTATTTTGGCAGACCTTAATGCAATAAAAATATTAAGAGTGCATTGCAATTCACCTCACCTCTACAGTTGCAATAGAAAGAATAAAATAAATGGAATATGGACAAAATAATGCACCTCTAAAAGCTGAAATATAGAACAGTTCCAAGCACTTGTAAAAAAAAGTAGTGACTCACAGCTCAGCTTTTCTGGGTCTTATCAACTACCTTTGCTATCAAGGTTTTAATGATTTTGGATCCTGCTAAGCCACATATCTAAGGAAGAGCAAACTGCTGCCTTTTCTCCCTCTATAGGTAAACAGAAGCAATGCTTATTGTTGGCCATGTCTATCGGGATCAGCAGAACAGAACCTGGAAAATATATACGACCCCAGCACAATACACGGCAGAAAGCATCTTGCTTTTGTTACAGGATAAAACCGAGTGGACCCAGGTTTTAACATGGCATCCTCTTGTATACCAAAAACTAATCCAAAGAGTACAGAACATCTCAGCAGGCTTTGGATCAGGCCTTTAATGAGAACAGTTCTGCCTGGCCAACACATTACTCCATCAGATCTGGGCAGCGTAAGGCCTGGTGTGCAGCAAAGCCCCTCCATTAGCATCAGAAATGGCACTGAGACATTTTCATTTTCTATCCAAACACCCTCCCTTTTTTCCAGCTTACTTATGAGAAAGGACAGGCCGTTCAGGGAATTCCAGGTCTACTTTTAAGCGCTGCCCTCTCCACCTCTGGATACCCAGCCCTACTCAAGGGTCTGCAAAGTGTTTGTACTACTGCTGAAGCCCAACCACTTCACATGCCCTGCTTCAGGTCTTAATCTGAAATCACGGAAAGAACAGTTGTGAAATACCACTATCAAACATTCCTCTCAAAAGCTGTTGAAAAAGTTCTTCCCAAAGCAGGCTTCAGCTGCTCCCTTGATGTTTCCTGGTGTTTACTGTTGCTATGATACAATCGCCAGATTCACCCTCCCGGGCCTCCATCCTGCTTTACCTTATCAAGTTGGGACACAACCTCCCATAAGAGGGAATGCAAAACTGAGAGCTCTCTGCCCAGGTCGATGTAGCCCTCAAATCCAGGCATGTTTGAGATGGTATCTGGGTTAGAGATCTCCAGGAGAAAACGCTTCATTCCTCCCCACTCGTGTTCCAAAAAGTCATTCATGAAGGCCATATACTCTTCCTTATTACCAAACCTGCAAAAAAACGGGGGGGGGCGGGGGAGGTGTGTGTGTGGGGTGGGGTAGGGCAGGGGGGAAACCCAGTCAGTAATCTCCACACAAAATATAGAGTACAAGTGCTTACAATTACTTAAACGCTTAACTTTAGACCTGCCTGGTCTCCCAGTCTAGATTTGGCCTGGTAGAAAAAAAAAAAAAATTGACTATTTAAGAGATTCACTGCTTTCTTGTACTTCTTTAAATACCAGTAATTCACTGTGCATATTATGATCAAGGGCTCAACACATCTCTCCCCCCTCCCTCCCACAAACACCCGTTTTCCTTTCCCCTTCCCTGCATCTCCTCCTCTGTAAGAGACATGCCATACCCTCTATATCATTCAGCTCGGAATTCTGGCAAAAGAAGGAAAATCATGACCCATGGTAGGAATGGGCTTTTTTTCTTCTGAAATAGCATACACATTGGCATGCTAATGCATGTCTCTTCTTGGTTTTATGCTAGTCCCCTCTACTGAATTCAACACAGCCCAAATCTGCATGTGAAAAGGAGAATTTATCTAGCTCAACACTAAGGTGTCTCAAGGGAAACAGCGTTCACATATAAGTGAGAAGTTTCCTCCTTTTCTAAAGCTGCCTGCAATTTGACAGAGAATCAGAATCAGCTGCCTGCAAACATGACTACCAAGCAGGGCTTTCCTTGCTCCATAGTAACCTGCAGTGACTTGCACCTCTGAGGCACAGATTTCAGTTTTACTGCCACCACCTACTTAGCAAAATTGGCGAGATTCTGAATGACTTTAGCAATAAGTGTGAGTGTGCGAGATGTCCGGTCGTCAGGATACTCCTGCATGAGGCTAAAGAGGCTGGGGGACATGATAGCAGGGCACAGGAAGCGGAGGAAGAGGGAGGCACTGATCAGGCGTTCACTGATGTCCTGCTTGCCTCTGCTCAGGCACTGCTGCTTCCAAGACGCAAATACCTCCTTCAGCTCACGAGGGAACACACTGAAAAACAATAAACCAGGAAATAAAATCACATGGGCCACGAGATGCAACAAGTCGAACAGGTGATCAATCACCTGAAATAATTATCCATGAGAAAACATAATTGATTTTTTTTTTTAATTCCTTTTCTCTCTCTAGGATAGGAAACGTCATTAGGCACCTATTTTTAGGTCCCCATTTAATCTGGTGATACTTAAGTAGTCTTTAAAGCATCCCTTGTTCATATATGTTAAGCAAAGTAATTTTCAGACACACTGATCTGCGAGCTAAGAACTACCCTTCCATCACTACCCTGGAGCAAACAGGGTGTTAGAATATTAAAAACAAATTGAACAAAACTGAACTCATCTCCATAACTGGAATTCTTAGACAGCTTGTTAAACTTTCTTAATATTTCCCATGTGCTTCATCCCAAAGCAGAAAGGCCCTTCTTCTTTCACTACTACTCAGAAACAAAGATTAATAGAAATTTCTCTGCCAGTGTTTCCTCCCCATGATTTCCTGTTCAATTCTACAGATCTAAAGGGTCTGAAAGTTTCCTACAGACACCAAAACTTTCATCTTTTTATTCCAATTTCAAGCTAAGCTGTTATCTTCTCACTTACACAGCCACAGTATGTGTTCCCTTGGCAGAGAATTTCAGCAGAAGCTCCTGACAGGTATGGTGTGTGGGACTGGAACCCCTCAATTTAGGTGCAAATTTCACCTGCAATATGGTGTCACACATAGGAAGGTAGAGAGGAAAGGAACGCAGGTAGTCTCAGAAGACAGATGGGTCTGTGCTATTTCCCTGTACAACTGCTGTTTTCTCCAGAGGAGGAATGGGCACCTTCTAAGCAAATGGCCTAATGAGGGAGAAGAGGAAGGAAGATGCCTCACCAGTAAGAATTGATAATCTTGCAGAAGGCCAGTTCACAACACATTTTCAGGTTGCTCTGATGATCAGTTAATTCACTGGATGAACATTTGCTGGGATCCACTTCACAGTTTTCATCTGACTCATACAGAGCCTTGATAAACTCCCCTGGACAAACGGAAGAGGATGACAAACCAGGGTAGTTACATGAAAAGCCTCCTTGACACACCTTTAAATCCTGCTTCCGTCTTTCCTTGGCAACTGCCTCTTCTGCTCCGTGTGTCTGCAGTACAGCCTTCAGACACCAGATGTGGGGGACACGACTCCTCCCAGCTCTTTCAGAACAGAGCATTTGCCATACCACATCAGACAGCTGCTGCTCTGATGCTTCAGCCTCCTGTGCCCTCGCTGCCCCCAAATATAGGTGCAATAACAGGATGGCTTTGCTTATAAACCCTGCAGACACTTCACTTGTAGCCTAAAGAACAGGATTTGACTTTATACTCAAACTGCATTATCAACTATAAAATCATCCACAGTCTTAGAAATGAAGCTGTGCTATTTGTCTTCATAATTTCCCCAGGAAATGCACTTGACAATGCTATTTATTTTTATTATTTCTAAATTTACCATTTATTTTAAAAAGTATCACCTTACTCTTGAATAAGAGTAATACCTGCGTGCTACCAGATACTGCTGATTTTCTCAACCTATCAACACCTTATGACATTTTTATAGCCTGCATATTTCAAAATCCTTTGCATTTCTGTCATCCTTCTCTTAGGGCATCACAACAGAAACTGGACATGTACAAAACCAGATAAAAGTTTGCTTTGTTTGACATATTGGAATGAACTACTTACTAGTTTTTCTCCTATATATGCTAACACATCAAGTGATTTTTTTAAACTGTTGTTCATTAGGAAAAACTCTTAATTCATTCATTCATTTAATGATTCAACGTCTTTTAAGTTCATCTCCTCAGATGATCTTGCTGGCTCCGAGCTAACACCACAAGGCTTGTTTGTGCAAAAGGGTTTTGTTTTTCTTTGTCTTTGTTTTCACAAAAACCCTTAAAGACCTACCAACCCCCATCCCCAAATCTCAAGTCAGCAGTGTTCTTGCAAGCAAAGCAGGCAGCACATTTTCTTAAGCTTTTTTTTTTGTTGGGGTCCAAAAAATTTATGCTGAGGGCATCTAGATCACTTATTTGCAAAACTCTCGTCATTACTTCTGTTGAGCCAATTCTGTTTTAGCTGTTGTTTACTGGATAACATTTTTTTCCCCCTTAAACACATCTGAAACTTTCTCTTTGTGGTCCATGAGACCCTGCCTTAATCATATACTAAGATGCTCTTCCAAATGTATTAAACAGCTAACACCAAGTGTAACGTTGTTAATCCTTTCAAAGAACATGGCATCTGAGCAAAATGACATTTAGAACTTGACAAAGAATTAGATGGGTATATTGTCATAAGCAACCTTGCCCTGAGCTACAGACAAGCCAGATGACCTTAGGGAGATTTCCCATCTCTCATGTCTATGATTTACAGTCTTATCGTTCAGCTCTAAATCATGTATTAGAAGTCATTAATTTCAAAATATTTTTTATATAATTACTGCACATTAAGGGGCTTGCATTCAAATATAATATACTGGTCCTACAGCTGATTGTTTAGTCTGCTGAAGAGCACAGCACAAAGTAATACACTGCTCATTTCTCCATGCCAGCGAGAGCCTAAGACTGCGATTTATGCTCAGTGGTTCCACCCATGAGAATAAGACTACCAGAAGAGGCTCATTAAACTTAAGAAATGGCCAAAATGCTTATAATCACAGACCTGACTATACTGACCCTTGAAGCACTAATTTAGCCAACTATCTCCTTGATGACTTGCCAGCGTCTGGGATTGCTGAGGACAAGTAAGACTGCTGGGAAAGCAAGCTGCTTTTTTAGTTTGTTTGTTTGTGAAAGGATGTGGTGCGGGACTCAGCTTTGGACCAATCTTGTTTCTCTTGTATTAATTTCCAAAGCTTTCTTTACCTAAGAAACAACAGAGGGATGGGTGGCTTATCGTGTAATTATGGAAAACAAAGATTGTGTGGGGTTGGTAAAAGCTAACTGCAGCGAGGCTGTGAGCATCTTTGGATGAGAGCATGCATATTTTTGGCATTCTTTACAGCAATATTAGTTGTGTGGACAGTAATTCCCAAGACAGTGGCTTATGAAAAGTGCAGAACCTTTTGGTGGAGAGGGGACAATAATACATTTATCAGAATTCACTCTGGCATGTTAACTGTGGACATTAAGACCTCATGGGGGAATGGAGTAGGAGATCACAGGTCGGCCAGGCAGTTTTAATGAGGCAGTGAATAAAGAGCACTTTGGATAAACACAGGCAGGAGGCTCCCACGGCATCCTGATCTCCTGCCCTGTGCTGCCCAGTAGCCCTGCAGCCACACTCCCTCTGGCCATGTTTGTCTACAGATTTTTGTTGGGGCAAGGTACCAGTTTAAAAGGTTAACACAAATGTTTATGAATTAATTGCTTGTGAAAAAGGTAAGGGCTGAGCAAGTCCAAGGGTTTATCTGGAATGTACCAGCATTACCAATATCTACAGCTGAAGACCTGGAAATGAATTTTTGTGTACTACCTGCACTCAACCCGAGTGCTAGGGTGGGCACCACATGCTTAGCACAGTGTAGCTAACGTTTCCTGTTAACTACAAGAGAAAGAGACTGACGCGAGACACCCCAGCGACACACACCTGTGGATGAGAACTTTGGTTGTCAACCAAATACCCCTAAGAATATCTAACCCCCTAGGTGGTGGCATTTCAGCCTAAAGCAAGCTCAGGACGTTTGTAAAAGGAGATTAGTGAAATACATGCTTCACATTCTTAACCCTTTCTGAAATTCCATCTAATTGATCTAATTGTATTGCATACAATACCAGATTCACTCCTGACACCGCAACACAAGATACCAGTCTCAATTTCCGCTCTTAAACTCTGTCAAAATCCCTTTTTAAAGCCTGTTAATATATCAGATGGAGCAATCACTGTTGCCCACAAATCAACTGCAGTATTATAACTCTTCATCACATCTGGAGGCACAAAAGGTTATTTAAAGAGGGACTAAGCAATATTATACCAAGTTTGCCTTTCCTTGGGTGCTACTCCTGTAGGCACCAAAAAGCATCTTCCTTTGTGTGGATGAAGGGCATCAAGAGTAAGGCTGCAGATATTCTGCTCTCTGTATACTAGACAGCCGGGCTGAGTGCTGAGGCAGCTCCTTCCCATCCCACATTAGGTGCTTCAGTCACAGAGCAGACAGGTCAGGGTTAGCCCTCGCTAAGCAAACAGGTGACAGACAGGCACTTTCTTACCTAGTGCATCATGAAGATACTTCTGCCCTACCAACTTCAGGTATTCCTCAATAGCTTTGGTAGCAAGTGTGTTCTCCCTGAAGATCAAGACATCATGCTCCCCACAACGATCTACCTCAGACATCACCAAATCCGTCAGGAAGTCCTGAAGAAAAAGGTCAAATGGCAAGAGGTTATTTTAAGCACACTCAGCCAGGCCAGGCTAATTGCAGAAGCCAAGAAGGAAGGATAAATGGAGGAGCCAGAGGATTACTTAAATAATTGCTCAGGTTGGGACAAGAAGTGTACATGTTACATGTACTATGGGCCAAGGAAATAGCTAGGCTCCTCTTGGGTTTATTATACTTATAAAATGATATAGATCACAAATTATAAAGGGAGAAGCAAAAGTCTCTAAAAGAAGACCTTTACAGCCAAGCTTATGTTTCAGCTTAGATCCTGAACAGAAACCCTCACCAGTTTGTTTATCAGTGGCTTTGTCTGCTGAAAGAAACTGTGATATTGTATTTATCTTTTAATACTGAATATTGCATGCAAACCTGGATTTAAAAACCCAAAATGGAAGTTAGGCACAAGTTTTTACAGCTTGGTGAAATTTAAATAAGAAAAATGGCTTATATAAATTAAATTCACAAACCAAAAGTGGTTCAGTCTTTGGGAAAAAAGTTAAAATACCTGCTGTGAATCTATATGGCTTAACTTGAATGGTATTCAAATGCCCAGGCAGGAAATATCAGCAAACCTTGATACAACAAATAACCTCTTGATAGAGGGTCTAATGCTACAGTAATACTTACTTCCTGAAGTGATAACTTTATGTGAGTCAAGGACACCCAGCATTTCACAAGAAATACTTGGTATTTTGCAAGATCCAATTTCAGCCACCGCCAAGTTCTCCAGGAGAGGAAGCATATTTCTCTCTTTCTCTTTTTTTTTTCTTCAAACTGTTCCCAAAAAAAAACCCTCCAAAACCAAAACACCACCCTGAATTAGGGATGAGTGATAACTCAGACTTGCCAGTTCTGCTGCAAACAGCAGCATCCTCCAAACAGTTCAAAGAGTGCTGTAGTAAAGTTTCATAACCCCATTAACTACAGAAGCCAATAACGCCCTGCTAGCATGTGAGTCTAAAATACATGGAACAAATTATGTACGATAAACATAGATCAAAAATACACTAGTACTCTTGGTTTTCAATCCATTATTGCTGTTCTTTTTCAGAAAAATCTGAGAGAATTATTTTCACCTGGTGCAAACTGGGAACCATCCAGCTGTATTACCACCAGCATAGTGTGAACTGGAAATGTACCCTCTTTGCAGCTTAGGTTATGGCAGCCTAAGCTGCTCAATGCTTCCAATAAATAGAGGTTCAAGCGTTCAGGTAGTAGGAAGACAAGGTTATAACACTAATTTATCTACCTGTTGCAGCTAGCACTGCAGGAATCCAGAGCCTGCTTTCCAGCAGGATTTCAACACAACCCTGTGGGAGCTACCCCAGCTACCAGACAAACAACTTGGTAAGGAATGACTTCCCATCACACACTATCACACAGTACTAGCCTTTCTGAGACATATTCCAAGGGGAGAACAGTAGAAAGCAGTATATGATTGTGCAAACATAAAGGGACCTTTCTGGAACAGTTAAATTAAGCCATCCCTTGGATGTTGCTTATGGCTATCCTTCCACACCTCCAACTTGTGGTTGGCTGTGCTTAACTTGGTCTAGCTGGCATTACTGGAAGAAGCTGACTACAGATTGGTACTACTCACACACCCACTTGGCAGGCAGCAATCCAGATAAATCAATGCTTGTTAATGCTTCTCATAATTTCCCCAGGATCTACAGGATATTTCCCCAGTCTATTCAAAAAAATGGAGGCTCACTCTAACTACTGCCTCACAGAGAACCGTCAGTGTGCACCCACAAGTCCTAATAACATCCTTGGGGCAGGTGGGATCATCATTAACTGAGTATAGATTCTCCAAATGGCTGTTCAAACGCTGACCATATCAGTGTTAGCATCGATTAGCTGACTTAGCAATGAATCAACAATGGCACCCTGCTGTTCACTGCATCAAAGACTTATTTATAGAAGTAATTCTCCAGTTTACTCATCTCTTGCTTACTTATTTTTTATCCTGTATCATGATTTTAGAAATACAGAAAAGGTTCCTGAACACTAAGGTGCAGGCCCTAAGCTTTCAAAACAACATGAAGTTACATAGTCCTCCCAATTATACTTTGTACACAGCAGTTTAACCTTTGTATCAACTCTTCATCCTTACTGGTATTGTGTCTATCTATATGCCTTCCTGGCAGACGCAACTGCCCAAGTCTTTTCAAATACTTCTGAGACCCTTTTCTCAGCGTTACCCCATCAGGCACCCTCTGCTTTTGCTTATGGTCATGGGCTTCCTAGTTTCTAGCTGAAAAGATATCACCTATCAGCAGCAAGAGGGAGTAATTTTGACAGGAGCCACCTGTTCTTACCTTAGCTCTCCCAGTGCTCTGAAGAATGTGCACCAAAGCACAAGCCATCTCTTCCTTATTCCTTACGCTGATCACAGGTTCCAGCACAGAGCACAGCATAGTGTAGTTGCTGGTAACAAACTCTGCAAACTCTTTGTATTGCTCCATGGGCAAGATGGTGATGGTCTGATAACGGGACTTAATCCGAATGGAAGGTCCTCCTGACTTCCCTTTGTTGGGTGTAGGTGTGCTGACTGGGTACCATTTTTCCACAAACTGGCGACCGGTTACACTGGCCATGGGAATGTTGACTAGGCCTACATAATTGTTCTTGTCCTTCTTCTTCTTCTTCTCCACATCCTTGTAGATGTGAACTGTGATGCTATGAAGTGGTGGAAGACCGTAGAATTCAAAGTGCTCTCCCCAGAAAATGTTATCTGCTTTTGTTTTGCTGGTGGTGCGGGCAAAGAGAGTGTCATCAAGGCACAGCTCACAGAAGTATTTCTTCTTGGGGGCCAGGTCCTTTGCCTCAATGATCCAGAGACGGAGGACATTTTCAGCTCGACGGCAGTTGTCCTGTGCAGAAGAAAGAGCTCAGCTTTGATTCAAAATCCCTAAAAATGGGAGTATTTTGTCTTCTAAAGCAGCAGCAAAGGGCTGCCTTTTGTGTCCAAGGTAGGGACAGAGTCAGAATTCAGAATCAGATTCTCTAATCTTCAGAGAATCAACATACCTAGAAAAATCAGACATTTTCTAAAATAGAGGGAAAGGGCTGTCTTTTGTATATCAGAGGTGGGGGATAGAACATTTTTCTTCTCAAAAAAAGCTGTCTTTGAAATGCTTTAGAAAACAAACACTCTGCACAGGAGCCCCTCAAATGCTGCTGGGTTGGTGTGGCACGCTGCACTGTTTACTCTTGTGAATAACTGTTACCTTTCCCTTGAAGGTGGTATGCCAGCTACAGAGGTGACTTACCAGATATTTCTAGCTGATCAGTAACTTCTCCCTCTGGCTCAAATTCCTTTTTTTTTCACCACCCAAACTGTGCCCCCACAGTAAAACATGAAACCTGTGAAGCCATGCCCAATCCTTCTGACATGCATGGTATCAGAAATCCAGTCTGAAACATCATAAGCAGGCACTGGGTTAGGGTTCAGGAAGCATGCTGACCTCTATTTATTTATTAAAGGTTTGACCTACTGCACTCACTAGAATAGTACACAGCAGCTTCTGATACACTGATGAGTGGGTTTCTCACCAGACTAAATTAATTGAGGATGCATCTGTGGGAAGCCCTGGTACACTGGACTAAATCCAATCACATCACCTCCATTCCCCTGGTAATCTTATTTCTACAGTTTGTATTACCTTATTTGGCTGCACTGTTCTGCGTAGGTTTTCCATCCACTTGTCCCTCTCTGCTGCAGAGGAACAACTGAAGCATTTACTGCCACTGGAGTAGGTTACCTGGAATATATAAATGACAGGTTGAGTTCAGGCAAGCCTAGGAGCCATGTAAGAGGCTGCAAAAAGCAAGGAAGAAGATAAGCAATGCTTGAGCAACAAAGTAAATACAAAAAAGTCAGGAAAACAATACAAGGAGCCTAGAAGGCAGAGAGGTTAAAAGGTCCACAAAATGTACAGAAAATAAGTCAGTTCAAATTAATATAAAACTAAAGAAACATGAAGAGCACCAGAGGTTCCTCTTAAAGACTTTTATACAAGGCTTTAATCAACCAGCTAATTTATTTTTTTAAACACTTGTTAATTGATCCACAGCTATTAAATGCTTGCAGTTTTCCCTGTTAAGTCCCAGAGGCAGATGATTTGGTTACTAACAGTGTAAAGACAGACAGAACTAACAATATATTAATATAATGCAAAACACTATAAACAGTGTCTTCAGCAAATACAAAATGTTTCCAAGGGTCCATATATACAGCAACAGTCTAAAACCAACCGAAAGGAGTTGAGCTCTGATCCAGTCCTGACACTCGATGCCATACACAACTCTGCTTTCATGCAGGAGGGAACTACCTTGGTTTTACGTAGTCTGACAAGCTTCATTTACTCTTTCCATTCATTTGTACCCACAATTAAAAAGCAGTTTGAGGCAACAGCCTCAGAGCTAAGTTGTTGCCAGTTTTTCCACTCAACAGCCCAAACCTAAGCAAGCTGGAAAGTGTTTCCAACCAGAAGAATGAGACTGAAGCAAACAGGAACAGTTCCTGGATACAACCCGAGGGAGAAGGGCCTGATATCCTGGTTTTCTGCCAAAGCAGTTTTCCAGGTTGTAAACAGATTTTTGTTCCAGAAGTTTAGACACATCTGACTAACCCTGCTGAAGACAGACTGTCACCCGCCCCTGCCACGACAGATTATGATGACCTTGGACATAACCAAATTGCACACACGAATACGCTGCTGGTCCTGCAAGGTAAGGACTCTGCTCACACAGACAGTCTGTTTTGGAAGCGGAGCTAGAAGCCACGTGGTGCTGTGCTGCAGCCTGTGCTGAAACAGCAAGAGGATCCTGCTCTGTGGCGCCACGGACATGGCCGCAGTTACTGAAGCTTCTCCTTTAGCAACTGGAGAACAGGCTGAGCTAATGGAGGGGGGCTCTGACTGGAAATCACATTTCTCAGTTACAATATATTTCCTAAATTTAATTTTAGGTGAATTTGAAGAGGATGAATGCACAACTTATGAACAATAGTATGTTTCAACTATACAATTGCATGCAAACTTCAAATGCTGAGATATTTATCAAACTAAGGAGATTTTTCAATTAGAAGACTCAGTAATTGAAAAAGACTTCTCTCCATTGAGTGATTGATGTCATTAGCCTCAAGGACTTTAGAATCACATCTGGTTCAACAGCCCCCACCCAAACCTCAGGATAGCAGCGGCTGCTGCTCTGCTCTCCAATTACAAAGTCACAGAACAGCGTATGGCAAGGGTTCAGACCAACTGACAGCATATAATCGGCTGCGTGTTTGGAGAGTGTTCTTTACCTCAAAGCAGAAGTCTTGTCCAAGGATACTGCTGTGAAGTGGTTTGACAAAGACTTTTTCTTCTGACCCAAGATCCAGGGCCTCCACAGCGCTGCCTGGGCTCAGTAAAGACTCATGGGAACGGGACTCTTTCAGCTTTGGCAATCCACGTGACCTGTAAGAGAACAAGGGGGAAAGGGAACATTATTATTCTCACAATTACCAAAAGAGTTGGCAAGATCCCAGAGAAAGCTGCAACTTGCTTGTGTTTATTCAGAACAACTTCTACAATTAAGTCTGTAAATCTTATGAAAATAGCATCAGACCAGTAATCCTGGACTCCTAAGTAAATACCCACCTACACAAGCCCAGGAAGTCCATTCCTACCAACCTAGAAACTATAGGTGCTGAGCCACTGGTGAAAGAACAACATTAAAACAAAAAGTTCAGAACTTACCTGCTGAAATTTAAAGAAACCCCATAGATAGATTTGGATATGTTACTGAAAATATTTTATACTATCTAGATTACTAGATAAATGTCATGGATTAACAGCAAAAAGCACACCAAACTCTGAATCTCTAAACCCATGCAGAAGGATAGCTACTCTCATTAGAGCGGTGATCCACCCACAATATACTTGAGTTTTCTTAATATACAAATACTTTAAACTAAATACAAATATTTAGTTTATGCAAATTATTTCCCACTTCACAATGCTCAAATCTGTTACCTACATTTAAATTCGTCATTTTCTTCTTCAGCTGCTTCTTCTAGTTTTAACAGTTTTCAAATTTTGATACCTTTACTCTCATTTAATTCCCTTTCACTGACACTTACTGGTTGTTGTTCGTCTGTTTGGGTTTTTTTTTAACTGATTGGCCTGTAAATCCCTAAGCTCTACCAGACCTGGCATCTCCCAAATTCAGAGTACCTCTTTATGAATGCAGTCTTCTCTCTGTCCCCATCAGTCCTTGAATACTTGTCAAAGACATACCCCTCCCTCCAATATGCTGTAGCATTTTGTAACCAACAGCACTATCACAAGACGTGCTCTAAAACTTTCTGTATTCTCCCAGTTTGATTTAATGTGACATTTGTGCGTAGTATGGAGTTCTACTGTTAAACAGCACTGTAAAACGTGCTCAATTTATAGGTTAGTGGCTTCACCTGTGCTCCTTCTTATTCCAAACTAACACCTAACTTTAGGCACAACTAGCATTTCTCCTTCAAAAGGTAAATACTGTGTGCACACACATTTTTTTCCTCTGCAACCTCGTCAAAGCCTTCACTGATGACCAACAAGGAGGAAGAGCATGGAGTCCCAGCTTAGCAGAAAATGAGCTGTTTACCTGGCAGGTCTAGATTTTGCTAAGGTATCTAAGCTTGTGGTGGTTCCTGTGCTTGTTCAGTGATCCATGAAAGTTTGTCCATAAACATGGCTGCACATCCAGCAAGTGTGACCAGGCACAAAGAACAGATGTGAGAGTAGAAAGGCATCAGTCGTTGATACATTATGCAAAGCAGTGCACTGAAATGATGCCTTCCCACCTGCATATTTTCTCTTTTATTCATTTCCCAGTATTAAAGCTCAGTGTCAAGTGGAAAATGTTTTTAAAAATGTATTTATGGAGGAGTGAAAAGCATAGCTACCTCTAATGGCTTCCTTAATTTTGAAAAGTAGTTTTGATGTTCTTCCCTCACATATCCAAAAAAATCCTCATATTTTGTAACCTTAGCAAAATCAAACTCCTCCCACCCTTGAGAAATTCTATGGAGAAACAGGAAAAAAAAAACCCAAACATGTGGAAAAGCCATCTTCAGTACTTCTAAGTCTGCTTAACAAAAACTTGGGTATCCAGAAAGATACATGTAAAGCAACAAGCAGAGTTCACCTGACTGCTCTTTTGTACAAAATGAAATGCTGAGGGTATTCTAGTAGATTCATGTATGATAACACTTATTAAACCATAAGGGAGAACGTTGTTCCCATTTAATATATTGAATGACCTAAGTGCAGGCAGCAACAACCTTTCATCAGAGGGATATTACAAAGACACTGATTTCAAATGCAAAACAGCAGCACTGGTACAAATGTGTTGACTGCACTGTGCATGCTTTGTTATAACAGGTTACAGCAGCAGCTGTACCAACGCAAAACTAAAACCTCAGCCATGTATAATTGAACACTTGCTGCAGTTAAGGTAGAGCAAGTCTAAAATAAACACACCACAATACACCACTTTAATATCGTCTCTGCAAAATCCTCTCTAATTTCTCCTCTCAAGAAAGCACTGCTGAGGTCACTTGGCTTCTGTCCCTATCCCAAACTCTCAGCAATTCCAGTCCTAACAAAGTACTTCGGTGCATGATGCAGGGGAGGGAGCTGGCTGAGAGCCTGCAGCCAACTACCGTCTTAGCTCCTTGTCAGTGAAGGAAAGCATGGAGTGGTCACAAAGAAGGGGAAGAGGAGGGAAAGAAAAATAATTACCAAGTGAAGGAGAAAGAAAAAGTGCTTTTACAAATCCCAGGTAAGAGGAGCCTCCACTTGAAGTAAGACAAATCAAGCACACCTACATGAAACAATCGTACAGCCACTTAGCAGTGCATCCCCAAATCATAGCGGTGCCACATGTCACAGCCCTTCCTTTCAAACTGCATTCTCTGGACTACATCTCAGACAATAAATCCTGCCAGGAGAGGAAGACAGGCACAAGAAACCAGGAGCAGCTCTTCCTCAAGCCTTAGGTTACAAATCTCAGACGAGCATCATGCCAGGCAAATATGCTGGGGCAAGAAAAAAAGTTACAGCTTCACCGGGTGAAGAAATGTCTCTCATCGTCGGCTGTGCTCCCACCTGGCCCAGCGGGTGACACCAAAAGGCTCCCGGGTGCGTGTTGCCATGGTGCGGCCTCCTGTAAGAAGATTAGGGGGGGCCAGCAGCCAGGAGAGGCAGCAGGCACAGGGAGGCTGCTTCGCAGACAAAAGTAGCAAACGTGACCTTTCCAGAAGGAAAGAACTCCCTCCTCTTCTTTTCCTACAACGAGTTTAACGAGACTGGGACAGTTAAAGACAGCATGAGAGAGCGAGGCATCTTCCAAGAACGCCTGCGAACAGCCTTTGGGGACGGGGTGGGAACAAAGGCAGGTACACACAGAAACTGTACTCCATGCCTCCACTTGCCACCTTGCAAGTTAAATCTTTTAGTAACATTATTCTGCTTCATTGCTCTTCTAACTAGTTATCTTTGAACCTTTTGTTTTGGTGTGGATCAGCTGGAGCATGGTTAGTTTTGTTGACTCAGGGTCCTGGGGCAGAGGAACCTCTATCTGAGTAATCCCCTGAAGCTACCATATTTAAAACAGCTCAATAAACTGATTAAGTGGCTTAGAATTGGCACTTTATCTTCCATAAACACCACAGCAGTGTTGTAAAGTTGTTGGTTAGATGCAACCACATGCATTTACAAACACAAGTACATGCATTTCTAAGTACCGTGGTATGTATTTCATCTACTGATAGATCTGCAAAGCAAATCATTGACTTGTGCCTAAACCAGCAGCATCCCAATCAATATAGGCAATAAATATACAGAAATAATAGTTCTCTGCTGCTTTAAAGCCTCATCTGATATTCTGAAGCTGTAAGTAACAATGAAGGAAAATTGCTCGCTGGCTTCCCTTCTGCACAATTAATAAACCGATGCTACTAACTTACTTCCCAATGTCCAGCGAAGGGGCTGGATTAACAGGGTCTTTCCTGTATCAGGTAGGGAGTTACTGGTAAAATGAGTGTTGCTGAGAGTCTCTGTTAAGAGAGAGGTAATCTCAGAGAAGCAGATTACTGTCAACAGGAAGATCGCACATGCAAAAGGTGGGGGAAGGGTTGTTTGTACAAATCTGTTTCTGTTAAACAGCTCCATTAACAACCCAAATCCTGTTTTAAATTACAATTAACCTCCCATGATCAGCTTTTTTTTTTTTTTTTTCTGTGCTGCGTTTTCTATCTACTTCTGCACCCAACAAAAAAAATTGCAAAGGAGAACATAAGAGTTCAGAGCAAATAGTTACCAACAGCATCAAACAACTTTCACACAAATATATTCTCCATAATTTATTTTCAACAGGAAAAGCAGGTGGAGGAGAAGCACATCAGGGAATATTTTACACTTCTCACATCTTTTCACATGTTTTGGAGTACTGGTCTTCAGAGCTGCATAACTTCCTTCTAAATCACAGCCCGGCAAGTGCCCCAAACCACTGACATGGCAGCAGCATGTGACTGCTACTGAAAAAGATCTCTTTAACACCACCATCTTGCTGGCCCAACCCCAAGCTGATCCTCTCTCCTTGCACACCATAATTCGATAGCTTTCCACTAGAGGAAGATCTTGGTTGTAAGCCAGGAACTAGAAACCTCTGGCTTTCAGTGGCCACCCATGGCACACAGCAGCCTATTATCTGTCTTCTATTAGATTCTACTGTCTCTAAGGCACATAGGATAAAGGGTTAAAATCCTAATTGCTCTGGTTATGAAACAATCCTGCTGATTTTGACCTATTTAAAAGCCAACCTACAAAGCACAAAAGACTTTCAATCACTGAGCTTACTAGGGAGAGCACTATATTGCTTGGAAAACAAGCCTGTGGACATCAATAATCCAAAAGATTAAAAAAATGGATAGAAATGAATTACCAAGGAACAGAATCCCATCATCTGTTTCCTTTACCAAACTGGTGTTAAGGCAAAGAATTCTGAAAAGCATTTTTTTGTTCAGCCCGAGCACCTGACTAAAGCCATGTCTCCACTGGTCTTACGCGAAACTGTACAACTTCATACTTCAAATAATTCCAGCACAATACCAATGTGTTTAGAGACACTCCCCAAGATCAGAAAGTTGAATTCAATACTTAGCCACTCGCAAAGTCACAGGAGAGAGCTTGGACTGTAATTCAGTGAACTTTCTGCTCAGCGCTGCTATTCGAAATCCCAGCCCTGCTGAACTGGACCCTAACGTCGGCAACATCATCTGCAGTACAGGTGCGCTCTACCAGCACTGCAGCATCAGATTTCCCTTTGCAAGTGTTCATTTTGTAGGGACCACACCCCACTTAGTTTTCCAACTGCCAATTAGCAGAACATCCTATTACTTGGTCAACCATTCTACAATTTTTTT